CAATTGTGTTTCAAGTGATAGAATAGAAGTTGTTTTATCAGTAAAAACTATCGGGATGTGGTAAAGTTCCCCAGTAAAAGAAAAAAATCGATGAAAAAGATACGCCCATTATTAGGCGAAAACGATATGGAACCCGTATAACGCCAAATAGCCCATGTCCATTCCAAAGAGACTACATAAGTACATACTATTTTATTGATGTCCAACGAAGCACAGAACGGCACGTACAAACTTGTCATAACAGTGCAACATCTGTGCATAGAAAGTATTATAATGAATAAAATTTATTTGGTTGAAAAATGAGCATATGCTGGCATCGTGAATGTGAATATGTGTAGTTGCACTATTTACAATTGATATCAATATGTTTAGTTGCATGTCAGCAGCAACAGCACACCTTTCAAAACCTAATGGCGACTTCATTTGAGAGAGCTGTCATGTAATTAGATCATCATTTTGAAATAACCCAATTGAAAAAACATCATTTTAACGTTGTGCAGCTTGACGGTGCCGTCCACAGTTATATGACTGATTATTGATTGAGTGTGTTGTCATGTTTTGTAAAAAACCGAATAAATTTCGCTGTGAAATATTCTAAGAGCAGACTATGTGGCTAAATTTGTTGAACACATTTGATGCTGTCATCTTTCTCAATATTGAGAAATGGAGGTAGAAAAGACGCAATTGAATGTAGAATGATTTCATTATTGTTTATCAAATGGATGTTTCCGTCCTTAGTTATCAACAATAAAAGTGTCAAAAGCTGACTCAATTATTATCAACCAGTCCAATAAGTGAAGGAAATCTAATACATATGAAACTGATTTTTTTTAAACACATCTTTATCCGTCTTTATCAGACGTTGTTTGTTATTCCAAATAAAAATGAAGCGATTTCATTTTAATACAATAAAATATGTTATAATATGTATTCGAAACTGTAGTTGGTGGGAGATATATTTCGATTTTGCATTGAATGCGATGATGCAGTGCAAATGCGCATTTCGTTTTGGTTTGTCCAAAACCTAAATCCGAATATATTTGTATTTTATTCAGAGCGGTTTTTGTATACTCTTTTTTGCGCAGAAATGAATCGAACGGAACGTGAACGTCAGCCATTTTTGAGCTTGAGTAATTTCATGCATAAATGCGAGCTTGTTTGCCATTCACTTTGTTCGATCGGAAATCATTTAAATTGTATTAGGCAGAGTTTTTTTTTCTTTGTATCTGTCTCTCTTTCCCTCTGTTGTTTGTAATATCGAAATTTTTTGCAATGCGCATTTGACGTCACGTTCGGTGCTGCCAACGAATCCAATCCAACAAAAATTTACACAAATAAAATTAATTTTCCTCTTGTGCTATCTATGTGCAACGAGAGCCGTAACAAGCGTAAACATTCATTCGGTGTGCGAATGAAACGGCTGGGTTCACATTTTATAAAATAAATATTTGCGTTTAAACTGAATTTTTTTTCGTTCTTTTGGATTTTTCTCAATTTTTTTGTCTCTGTTTTGCTGAAGCCAAACACGGTGGCAACGTTCCTCTTCCAATGTGAAACATCTTTGTTCACAAGCATACGAAAAAAAAAATATCCTCAACGAATTCAGATTTGTAGCCATTGTATTTACATATGGATATTTGTATTGATCCATAGGTGTGGCCATGAGTTTTGCATCCCGTAAAATTGCCACTGAATTTGCTCCGATTTGTATGAATTAATACAAATTGTATCAGTTGATGGATGAACAGATGGTTAAAATTGCATAACATGAAAGTTTTGCTATTGTTAAACAAAATTTCCACATAAACGAAAAATTAACCAAAGTTCTTATGCAATATTCAAGTTCTTAGTCAATCAATTCAATTAGTCGTCAGTATAGCGGATGGGAAGTACGAATGAAGAGAGAAACGTTCCTACACTTGCTGTTTGTGGTGTTAGAATGCTTTATTCATGTTTTCCAATACTTGCTTTGTTAGACGAATGTTATTATCTAACATACTTTCTTCTGAACACAGCGACTGTGTGTTCCCCTTCTTGTTGTTGAATCTGTTGCGTTGTATGTAATCGCAACGAATATATAACATCTAAAATCGTGAACATTTGCACAGGATTCACTTGGCTCAACGTACGGAAAGTCCCTCAGTTTCATTTCTATGGTTGCCTATTACTTTTTATATCATGAACCTTTTAGCATCAAATTCATTTACAGCATACACAGACTACTTCATTTCGTTTTTTTTTCTCTTTGTTGCGCAATTCCATTTCAATGAATTTGAAGAAAAAAAGGAAAGAATATGGTGATCGCCAAAGCCTTTTCATTCAAGTTATGCTGACGCAGTTAACTGAGTTCTATAGAATGATAATAAAAAGTAGTACGATCTTTGTTATAAAACAATGTAAAGGGAATTTCGTTTGAAAATCACGAATAAGTGACAGAATGACAAGACTTGAATAAAAACAAAATTGATATAGTCAGTGTGACAAATTCAGTTGAAATCACGAGAAGCTAACTAGATTCTCATGTGGTTTTTTTTAACCAAAGGCCATAAATGACGTATGCTTGGAACGTTGTTGAATCACACATTTACTCGGATCGATAGCAAATATCGGGGAAAGCTTGACGTTTTATACGTGTGAAATATTCTCATCGAACGTATACATTTATTTTGGGCGTTGTGAACCGTCATTCCTCTTGAATATTCGTATACTATTCCAGTGATTGCGTATATAATATGGCTTTGTATTGCCGCACACTTATATAACGTTTTATTCCCGGTGCAAAGTGCGTTTTTATTTCGTGCCGTAGCAACACGAAAACAGAGGCTGCGAGAACTTCCATCAAATGGTTGTAATTTAGAACGTAGGAGGGAATGATAGAACGCGCAAAGACTGAAAGATAAAATCAATTGAAACAAACACGTACACAAAGGGTACAAGTAAGAGTACATGGGTTGTGAACGGCATCCTATGCAAAATGAAAATTTCGAATTCGATGCATCAGCTTGCCAAAGTTAGAGCACATTTACATTTTTTTTCTGCGCTAAAAAATGACGCCTTGATTCATTTTCGATGACTCGCGCTTATTCTCTTGAAGAGAACGTTGTATTTTGCAACGAAACAAAGAAATTCAATACTCGGAATCACCAACAAAGAGCCTAAAATGAAGTGAGCGCTTTATGACGTCATTTTAGGGGGCCATTAAAACAACGAATCAACGATGAATAGATAATACATACGCGCTGTATTTCTTTCGAATCTGACGAGTGTGAAGATATGACGACAACAGCCCGTATTAGCACAGCTCAACCGAAAACAAATACGTATGAAGCGAAAAAAAAAACACTTCTCTTTCTTTTCTATACAAACGATACACAGACGATGCATCGCACACACGCTGTAAAAAATACTACAATATATACCGAATGGATGACTGTCTGTCATTCGTCTATATTTATCATTATCATTTTTTACGCCGAAGGAAACATGGTTACACCAACACACAAAAACATTACATTTTCCGCCTTCAGAATTCAAGCGTTTCTATCGAATTGATATAATCACACAACAAATGATACAAAATTTGCCATAAAGACACATTTCACAAGAATTGTGCCGACATTAACTAATGCTCTTTATTTTCCCCTAATTGCTCTCTTGATTCAACATTGATTCTTACTTTTCATTAGAAGTCGTCAATACATGCAAACATTCCTTGAATACAACTTGACCCATTGGTTTAAATATTCTTCTATTTACAAGACAAATTTAGGACAATGTAATTGGATTTATATTATCACAAAGAAATACAATCCACATTTGTACGACCAACTGAAATGTTTTATCAAATAAAATTTAGAATTCGCAATTATCTTTAATTCGTAGTTGTCTCGAACTTCTTTATAACTTATTCGAATAGAAAAGGTTTGAAAAACCAATGAAATAAAGTCGCTGTATTGATAGTATAATCAAAAGTGATATCGATGGCCAAATCAAAGTACAAAATGGCACTTTTTAAATTATTTGCTGATTATAAATTGTGCTTATGAATGGATTTAATGAATCTTAATGGCAGAAATTAAGGAAAAAAATGTATTTTATAGCTGTTTCGATAAACGGCTTGATTCCATGTGTTTTCCATTGCAAACTCAACTCATTGAATGAAAAAAAAAAACATTACTACTCGAAAGTTTACGTGAGAATTGACAAAAAATCGCACACATACTACAACCAGTTTTAATAATTTTACATGTTAAATTAGTTTGTGCCAACACAAATGTTCACAATAACTGAATTCGTGTGCAAACACACGTAAGCACACACAAAAGCCTTGAATTATGCATCCGATACGTTGTATAGCCACGCTTGATAGAATTTTCAATCGTTAAATACATTTTGAGAATATTCTGACAATGAATCTGATGCAATCACTCTAAACTTTTTATTACCTTTGCCGCCATTTTATGTGCAGATTATTTGGATTTTCAACCAAATTTGAAAAAAAAAAAAACATGCACAAAAGGCCAACACTCATTGCATAGTCAATAAAATATCGGCAAATTAAAGAGTTAAACTTTGATTTCGTGTATTGACTCTTTCATGCAACAATACATGTCGATTTTCACCTTTTTACTTTGCTCGCATTCATACTCAGCTTGGCTGCCATTTTCACCTTGTATCAAACGACTTGTAATATAGTGAACGCAATCGTATCGATATGTGTAAATACTTGTCTGAAGACAACATTGGAATTGTTCGAAACGTGTTTGTATGAATCAATGGGTATTTTGAACGCAAACCACCAACATGACCATGTCATTACATGAGTTTTGACCGAGCGCAAACGATATGATAACTTCCATTGAATTTTACACACTTTCCAAAATGTTCGTTGTATAGCAATTTTCAACAGCGAATTTCGTTTGTTAAGCATGGATGTTAATAGTTTTCTTTTAGTTAAGCAAGTTTCAAATGATTCATTATTCTCTTTTTTTTCTTTGCAGAGAACTTCACGACGGAACATCGATAAAAGAGAATGGGATTATGGATGGAAGCAAAATAATTCTGCTGCCAAATGTTGAGACGGGGCTTTTGGTAAATATGTTTTTCATTGTTATTAATCTTATATTATCTTGATTTGGACTTTTTTTTATGAATTTCAAGAATAGTACGCCAAGATTCGACTTGAACTAATGACAGAATCAAGACCTCGCATATATCAAAATGAAATACTCTCAAAATGAAAGAAAAATAGTTTTGCGAGATTGCTTTCCGAACACTATATACCTGTTGTTGTTGTTTTTTCTCTTGACATGATCTTGATCGTGTTTTTCAAATGAGTCAAAACATTAAACAGTTAGAGTCCGACTGGTCTGCTGAATACACATTTCTTGGTGTGGCGGTGAGCTAAAACCTAAAAGTAATTATCCCTTATCCGGCTGATCATTATTATGACAAAAAGCAGAGACGGGATCCTATGTACTGTTATAGGTTCACTCACTTTGTACAAAGTACAAGAGATATAGTCATATAAACGACTTCATGCTATGCAAATCGAGCGAATAATTTTTCACTTACTGCTTCATTTTTACCTCTTCGGTCATAAACTCTTTTTTTTCTCCATCTCTGTCTAGTCGATCGTATGTGATACATAGGCGACAGTATGTATCTCGGCGACAGTTGAATTTTAGCACATTTTGTTTGTTTCTTCTTATTTTTATATTTCCTTTGCTTTGTATTATGCTAATAATGACCTGGACCATTAGCATGAGAAATGAATGTGGCTGCAACACACATATGTGCACATTGTATCGTTGCACACAGCAATAATTCCGGTGCACATACTATCATTATTTGGCTCGTCGGCAGCAAGCAACATGCAATACGATGAACGCATAAAGGGCATTGCATTTTATTCTTCTTTTATTAAATCGATTGCTAAATGATATGAAAGAGTATTCAGTTTTTTCCTCGGCTCGCTGGACATATTCGCTTTTTCTCCTTCACGTACCGTTATTATTATTTGTTTTTAGCAAACATTTATACTTACTTCACTCATTCCTTTGTTCGCTTGTTCACTCACTCTTATATAGAGTCCAGCAGCCGCAAACATAAGCACAGCTTGTACATGTAAGACACAAAAAGAAAGAAAGAAAAAGAGGAGGAGAGTGAGAGAGAGAAGAAAAAAAGTCGTGCACTTTTCACAAAATATTATGCTTCAAGCATTTTGTAACAAAGTGCGTTCGTATCTCATCACGTCGTCGTTTGCATGCTACAATTGATGCACACACAAAATAAAAACGGTTGAGCAGAAAAAACAATCTTGGTGCTTGCATGCTTTTTGATTTGAAATTGTTCGCACATTCATATTGTGAATAATTTATGTTTTCTTTCTTCTCACTTTTTGCGGTTCGCTAGGCTCTCTTGCCTCTGTGCACGGCAATTGATGTTGAAATATTTTACATTTTACAACCACATTCAGCTTTGATACGGTTTTTGTTGTGCGCCGTCGCCGTTGTGCCACCATCGCTGCTTGCCGTAATCGATTCTTCAGTTTAGTTCGCATTTACCATTATATTACGCCAGCCATTTGAAAAATTATTTCAAAAATTTCATTTCATTTAATAAATTCAGCCGATCTGGTCCTCCCACATGGGAAATTTTCAATTTCAATCGAAATTACCGCAATCAAAAAGAGTCTTGCGAGTGATTTATTAATTTGATTTAAATAAAATGGTGAAAAGAAAAGCGCTGATCAAGTATTTTCACATTCGATTAAAAGCTGGTCATTGACATGATCTGACTTTTATTCCATTCCGAAATTGAAACGCGATACTATGTTTTGATTTAATTTGCGTTGCTTGCATTCAACATGTGAAGGTTAATCCGCCAACTGAATTGCTTTTGTAATGCAAATAAAAAAAAGTATTCAATGCAAGGATTTTCTCCCACAAACAAAATAAATTTATCAACAGTAGGCACACTCTTGCAAACGATTTGAACCCGTTTTGAGTGCAAAAAAAAACATACGAACCAAATCAGATGAAAAAGCAATTTCACTTTTTTAATTGCATTTTGACTGAAAAATCAACCTGTCGTCATCCATCGTCCATAAACACGAGCGAACAATGAACATTCTCATATTTGTAAATATTTTATCGTTGTGCACACGGGCGCACGTATCGAATGTTGGTGTGAATATTTGAATGTAAGCACTAATCATTTCGCTCACAAAATGTCGAAGACAAATTAAATGAGTGTGTTATATTGCGCGTATAAGACTCTCTCACACAATGCCCTTGAATATCGTCGTCATCGTTAAATTGTTGATTCCCGTGCAAATACACGTTTCATTTGTGAATGTGAAATGTGCCTCACAGCTTAATATTTCAAACAAAATAAAATCGAAACAAGCGCAAAATTATTCAAATGATCGCTCTAAAGCAGACAATGTGAATAGAAATTTATCACTCATGTTTCACCTATGGACGGCGACAAAGGCATCTCGGTTCCGGAACCAAAAAAAACACACACACATATATAGACAAACAACAGATGCACAGAAACCAAACGAATTCCCTGCGAGAGTACGTATCTGACCTAAACTGGAATTCGTAGATCAGACTGAAGCAGTATATTATATTTCATGTTACTAATGGACATTAAAACTGTAGTTACTGTCATATATATTTTATAGACGTTGGTTGAACTTTGACAATTGCTGACGATTTTCAAGTCTGTTATCTGTACACATACATTATATATACATACTGTATATAATTAATTTTTATGTTTCTTAGTTTTAAGTGATTTCTATTTTCATGGATCGAAAAAAAACTGAAAAGAACTGGTTTACTTGCGCAATGCTAGTGACTTGATCGCACATTCTGTTTCATTTCCAAAGTATACGGTCAATTTTCATTGGGCATTGTAATTCACTTTAAAATGCGCTTGAAAATATTTGGATTAGGCTGAAGTCGCTAGGAAGTCAATGCAATAAAATGCATGACTACATACGGTAAAAATATAACTATTGACACTTTTGGATAATCAAAGTATTTTCAATAATACAAACATCAAAGTTCAAAAAGTTGGATTGGTTTTAGCCAAAGTATACCTGAATAATTGTACATACAATGTTACTTCGTTTTCCAACAATGGACGCGCATGATTTGATTGACTATTTTTTTTTCAAGCGTTTTGTGAACAATTAACGTTATTTTCTATATTTTCTCATTACATGTGTTGCTTTTTGATTCCAATTAAAACCGTACAAGAGTTGAAACACGTGCAAAAATATGTGTATTCAACACATTTCACGTAGATCGTATACACCAAACGAAAAGAAAAACATTTATGCACAACAAAAATGAGAAATAAAGAAAATAAGGAGTACTTCGCTATCAATGTTATCAAAAATGGTGATACTTTCATTCGATGCGGAAAAGTTCATTCGTGTTCGAAGCACGTATATTGTGAATAGAAAGGTTATCTCATTTCGTACATTCGCTCAGTCTTGTATGCATAATTGGAGAATTCGGATTATTTCTCGTCTAACGGTCAGCTTTTTACGATCTTTTTTTTTGACAATGAATAAATACTGTGAATACACACATCGTAAAGATCATCGCAGCCTACCGCTAAGTTAACGGTGATTTGGTTTTTTTTTCTCTTTTTCTGTGTGTTTTTATATTACAAAACGAACCGAAGCATATAATGATGGAAACTTCCCAATAGCACTGGTTGTTGTTGTTGTGTGTTCCATAATTCGATATTCGTCAAAGATTTTGGCGTTTGCACATAGGTCGCATTTCGTATGCGCATACAATATGCCTACTGAATTTGGACTTACAATTGTGTTCATGAATCAAGCGATTTTTTTTTCGAGAAACAAGCTGTTTGGGCAATTTTCTTTTGGTTGATTTTCGACGGGGATAAAAGTAACACACTCACAGAAAAAAATCACAACTTTCACTTTCGTGCACGGTTTGTGCATGAAGGCTGCGTTAAAATTTGAAATTCGGCCAAAATTGAATTTCTCACAGATTCTTACGTCACTAATGGAAATGTTGAAAGTTGATAGTTGCATTGCAATCAATGAAGACAAAAACCACAAAAAAAAATGTTAACTTTCCCTCTCTTCCCAGTACAGAAAAAAAATGAAATTGTTATTCTCAATACAATTGCCCCCTTTTTAACCACTATCAAATTCAAAAGAATTTAATATTTTATTTCATGAATAATAATAAAAACAACAACGTTTACCAGCATAAATTGCAATGAACATTTTTGCTATCGATTCATTCGCCCACGTTTGGTATTTTCGTTCAATCTCTGAACTCTGCAATACAAGCAAGACGATTCGATAAATTGACAAATGTCATCATCATGAATTTAACAACATCAATTCCTCTAATGATGTGTGGGAATCGATGTACAATTACTATTTAAACTTTCTTGCATTTTGAATTTATTTACTGAGCAACTAACATTAGACAAGACACTCCGGCATGGTCTTCTCTGTGATTGTATTTGATGTTAATATAATGCTGTGTCTACAGAATCACTTCAATTAACAAAGCAAAAAAAGGAAGCAAACACAATTACTCGATCTAAGCAATGCATCAAACAACGTCTTTCCAAAAATCTATATTTCCTTTTCAATGAAAAGAATCCCATCCAAATGCACCAAACAAAAGCGAAAAATCGGTGATTTTAGAGCTCGGTGCTCTATTGATATTTTCCTTCTTCAAGAAGATGATTACTTTGGGCATAAATCAAATGTGAATCAGTTCATGCCAGTGTGAGTTTTGTGCATACTTTGCAGTGTGGGTTTTGTAAATTGAGTACAGTCTCTGCCCTTTCTTTTGCTGTTACAACCATTGTTATCGCACTAACCATAAAAAAAACGCATGGAAACCAAGCAAAAAAGAGAATTACATAAATGCACTTCTATGTCTGCAGGTAGACAGTGAATTAAGATTCTATTTCTTCAGCCAATAGAAATCGTTGCGTTTTAAATGGGATTTTTTTTTGTTCAAAAATAAGAAGAATAGAAAATTTTAGGTCGAAGTATTTGGTTTTGTGTTCAAAGG